CAATAGCGCCCATCACTAGTGAAACCGGCAGCGTGTCAAAGGGGACCGCGCGCGACACGCGCCGTGCGGACGGGTCTGATTATAGAGGCGACCCCATGACCGAAGCGATCGCAGTGGATAAGTCGCTGTCTAGTTGAGTATGAACCGTGCCTAACGACGCGCGCGGTCCGTGATCTCAGGCGCAACGTCGGCTTTGCATACATTAGAAAAATTGAACACGGAATGATAACTAACCTGTCTTGTTGAAGTTATCGGGAGGACGTGTGAAAAGAGTATTTTGAATTGTACTCAGCCGTCCCATATTGTTTCTGAAAACTAATATGTCACATGTTATTTTCACCGGCAAACTCAAGCAATTTTTACCTCGCATCACCAGCACTGAAATTTCTATTGCCCTCCTCCATATTCTATGCAAATGATCGCTGTATTGGGTGCACCAAGCTGCAATGGGGTATATTGCTTTGAAGATGGGGCTGTTTCAAGATACCGGGTCATTTTGTGAAGTCCTGTTGATATTCCAGGCTGAATGAACCGCTCCAGCGAAATAAAATACCAGTTTGTGCACCAAGGGGTAGTTCACTAACCACTGGAGCTCCTATCCCCATTTCTAAACTCAGGGAAAAGTTTTCATCTCTGTTGTACAGTGGTTCCTTCCTGTCATTAAAAAATGGTCCAGAATGAAAAGGAGTGGCGTAAAAAAGACATCTGCACCATCTTGGCGCTTTACAGGACTTTCAGAACCGAAACAAAATGGACTCGGCATGGTCGCATTCATACGCAACTCCGAAAAAAAACGACGAATTTACGGAAAAGGTGTCGAGGTATCGATTTGGAGCAACACGCAACACTCGGAGAAATTCGGAAACGAGAGAATCGGCAAAATGAGCGATGAAGCGTAGATAGATATCGATTAGTCAGCTAACCTCCTTCGGAAAATTGCGGGAGAATTGCGAAACAGACTGCCCTACTCTCTGAACTAGATGGAGTATACTTGTAAGGTCACATAGACGCATGCCACTGAGCAAGAAAAAACTTTTGAGCATATTTATATTCGAAATTTCTGATAGAGTTTTTCTCTCTTTTGCATCTATCATACAGCTGGTTCTCGAATATTTCTAATATATACTATTTCTGAACTTTATTCCATCAAAAGTAGTTAACGACATGGAAATATTAGTAAAACTAATAAGAACTTTGTTCTCACCCCGTTCCGGTGGGTTACGGGGCATCTGTCAACTAGGTAGATCGCTGGAAGGGCCCAGAGGCATTTTTCCGTTGCATCTTCTCACCGAAGATTCGAAGCTAGGAGACCAAAGAACAAAGAAGGGAGGAAGAGGAAAGGGAAAGAAGAAAGAAAAAGAAGGGGAGGAGGGTTTGTTGATGGCAGATGCATTGAAACGATTCGGGGTAGGCCATACGACAGCGGCGTCTGTACAGACAACTGGAGCGAGTCCCTTTGATGGCGTCAGCTTTCTGTTTTTCTCAGCGCCTCATGACCGCATGCTGTTTTGCGACTAGTATGACCTTCCAATTCCAACTTTTCACGTATAATAAGTGGCTCGTCCACCAGGTGTCTTTTCCCTTAAGAAAAACTCATCTCCTGGTGTCGCCTTGGCAGCCGCAGTCCCTTATTTCTCTGCTCTCGAGCCTTTCGCAGCAGGACCCCCTCTCCAAGGCCTGGGAGGCGGTCGTTTGGCGCGATTCCGTTGCAATTGACGTGTTTTGACAGGATGAAGTACGTCCCCACCAAGTTGGATAACTTGCAGGAATCACTGGACTAATTTGTAGTGTGCCAAAAACCATGAATATAGACTATGCTACAGTGCCCATGATTCTCAGCCAAGCTTTCTTCTAATGATCACTTAGGGGAAAAAACTAATTTGGAACTATGAGCGAGTTGTCTCATCTGGAACCCTGTTCAACTGAGCTTTGAACACCTCCAAGCCCTTGGTTGTCAAGTAAGCCGAAGGCGCAACTGCGTCCCATCACTCACCTCCGCGACATGGCAGAGTACAGACGACCAGAGTCCGCACGCGCCACCGTGCAGACTACCACCGGTATGTGACAAGAGAATCGTGAACCACCGCACTGCTGGGCGTCGCGTGCGACGTTGCGCCAGCAGATGACGATGGTTCCAGGTAGTAGATGGCGACAGCAGGCAATTCAGGTTCAAAAATAGTCATGAATGTCTACGATGAAGGGGTCTACATGAAGTCCGGTGCTCTAGTCGGCAGGTTAACACGAGTGAAGAAAGCCGCGCCTATCGCCGCGCGCGGCGGAGCGGCAAATTGCGATTCTCTTGCCCGTATCCCCCCTAATACACTATAACCGCTGGTCCGAGGGCAAAGGAATTATTGAAGACGCATTTCTCGTATGAAGCATTCGTAGCGTTATAGCGAAAGGTCGGCTTCAACACATGTGGGACCTTTAATCCAGACAATAAACAAATCAATTTCGTCGATTTTGCTTATGAGGAGAATTAGCCAGCTCAATACTTAAGTAGTCTTTTTTGCGAGTTGTTTATTTGTTTATTTATTTACTCGAACACACCCGAAGACGAGCAACAGACCTCGCGGAAGAAACTAAAAGATCCTTCTACTTCCGAAATTATCTTGAAGAGCCTATATGGGGTAAATTTCTAAAGAGACACAAAAGCAGGCAAACAATAAGATAAGAATAATTTCGAGCGCTAAACGAGGCAGGACCAGCTGCTAGAACACCCAAATAACACTAGTAATGGCACGTGTGCCAGCTGGACGCCTTGGCGTGGCCCTAACATGTTTTGACCACGTTCCACGTGAACCCACGTAACGATTTTTCCCCTCCCCAATCAAGCCTTATGGGAAGGAAAAGGTAAGGATAAACAAGAAGGGTAAAAGAGAAGGGGAAAAGGAAAACTATTGGGAAGGAGATCCTACTCATAATGGAAGATAGGGAAAAACCAGCAAAATCGATCGATAAGTAGTGATATCCCACAGTCAGCTAGTACAGGTAGATATTAATATTGAGAAAGTATGATATTCACAAATACTACGTATTTTTTGGGACTTTATCAAAAGAATTGCGAAATGTTTAGTCCTACTAAGGTTAGAATTACTGGTTATTGTTGTTAACGTTAATAATCTTTAGCTGGTGTTCATAACCACTTCGTAACGAATAAGAAATCCGTGAAATGGAATAGACGCGTATTGATCGGAAAACGCAAAATCCGACGAGTAGAACGATCGAAGATTCGCTTTCAAAATAAGATATGTTTGTGTTGATAACGCCGACAATATGATAGGTATCAGTCAAAAAAGATCGGTGAAGCAGCGGGAGTATTTCCGGGGTGGGGAAGGATGTCATTTGGCGCGATCCGCGTGCCGAAAACGAGTCAAAACATGTCGGACGAACCGTCTTTCAGAGGAGACGGGCAAGAGAATCGTAAAATGCCGCTTCGTCGCGCGCGGCAATGGGCGCGACGTTTCCTCAATTTGCACTACCCTTTCGATTGGAGCATCGGATTTCATGTAGACAAGGACATGGTAGACACTTATGTATGTTTTTGGTCATACATTGTCTATCCTCGACCAATACCAATAAAATCGTCATTAGGGGCGCGACGTCGCACGCGATAGCCAGTGGCGCGGCGAATTACGATTCTCTTGCCACATACCCGTCTTCCAAGAAGAACAGCTCGTCCAAAACTTCAAACCTCAAATTTTTCTCCCGACTGATCAGTGAGAGATGCCTTGGATGAGAAGAAGAATCACGGCAGGAAACATTGACGACATAATATAGTCTGTCGCTTACGAAAACCTTGCATATTAGTGATTTGGACGAGTTGTCCAACTTTGCGGAAGCGTTCCGTTACTTGTCATCACGCAATTGTAATGTGATCGCGCCAAAAGAGCACCTAACGTATGGGGCCGGTCTTCAAACAACTTGGACTCGATTCCTTCAATCGCGCCAACTTTCTTGCGTTCTCTCGTCTGCATGACATTGGGTAGCCGTTCGGGCCTTCAGCATTCCAGCTTCTATGCATTGTAAGCGACTCATCCACTTTGAAGTCCCCCATCTCTGAAAAAGCACATTTCCTAGCTTGCAGCATTTTTTGTGCACCTTTCGATACCTTGGTAGCCGCGGTTCTCTGTTTCTCTGCGCTCTCGCGTTTCGCGCGAAGACCTCCATCAAAAGTTCTAGTTACCACGTAATCTATGATACAGTCCTGTCACTTACTCGCTTGAGCAACTGGTGTAGAACCGTTACAAGACATCTTTCTACCGGATGATATCTCTTCCAGAAAATTTTGTCATCGCATTTTTTGTTGGGGCATTCAGAGTAAGGAAAATAAGGAATGTGGATGAGAGAGGCAAGGAAGAAAAGGAAGGATGGAGGAAGGGAGAGGAAGGCGCCGCGGTTTACAGATGTCCTGGGACCGTGCAGAACGGGTATGGCACCTCGCCAACCTCGTCCCGCTTGACACGCCCCTTCGTTTGCAGCGAACTGCAGGGTATACCATGCCGCACCAAATGTTTGCAAGAACTGACTGAAATGCTATCACCACTTTTGATAAGAGGGTGGGTGATATTCAGTTCAACAAGCGTATCGCCCGCTTGCAGTGGTGTTTCACGACTGGTTTAATCTTCTTAGTCGATCAGTGCCTGTGGTTAGTTTATTCAGATGCAAAAGCTTTCACGTCTGTGAAATCTGAACCTAAAGACACATGGCATAGGTCCAAACACGAAGCTGAGTCACTAGTTACTTATCAGAGAAGAGAAAACTTGGCGAAAGGGAAGGTGGGACCTCGTCGCGAGCGGTTTCGCTTCCCTCACGTATTTTTCAGCTGCGAAAGTGTACATAGTTTATGCTTGCAGCAGGAACTATCCAGAGGAGGCGCGGGAACATCAAATAAACGCGGGGCGTGCCATCAATCCGCATGCAACCTGCCTGATCGAAATGATTCCTAAAATGGCCGTAGCGCGCCGCACAAGGAGCTACTGGAGTTGGGGGAGTGGTTCCTGGCCTGCTTTTATACGCCACCCTCACCGAGATAGTGGTTCCCTCATCAAACAAGCCTGGCCTTCATGGGAGCTGAGAGGATTGAAAAAAACAAAGAAGACAAAATCGTCGGAAGTCGTCGCTCAATTTTGCTTGCCCATTAGTGTTAAACAGAAGAGATGTGTTGGTGTTACTCTCTACCCTTTTCATATTCAGGAAAACCCAAGGGATTTGTTAATACAAGTCGCAGATGAGAAAAATGAGCGTGTACCTGTCTTCTGTGGTCATTCTAGTGAAATCACCAGGTTAGCTGTGAATGGTGACGGATCGTTGTTGGCTTCAGGGGATTCCTCTGGCAAATACTGTATATGGGAAATCAATAGCAGGCAGTGTTTGAAGGTTGGCCAATGTTCAGAAGTCGTATTTTTCAGACTTCTGTAGTTATCGATTTTCAGGTGTCCTCAATGCGTGGTCCAGTCTCATCTCTAAAGTTTGTGGCGAACTGGCCCAGCATACATGCGGCAGAGCATATTTCTGCTCATCCCAATTTTGAATTGCAAAGGAATCTAACCAAAGGCGAGAAAATCCCCATGAGAGCATGTGCTGGAATTGACGTCAATAAGGTCAGTTTGAGGCGCACTTTTGCTGAGAATCCTGTGGCTTTTCTATTACTAACCTGTAAGTCCTGATTAGTAGAAGTGAAGATACCCGAAGGAAGGGGTAGGGGACTTTTCCGGCGCAGAAAACGGCAGTACGTTGTCTGATGAGTAATTGGAGCGCTTTTGTTTCACTTCTACTGAGAGTTTCTAAAAAAGCAACCGCCATGGAAAGTAACCTGAAATCATTTTATTTGTAACAGAACAGTTTTACAGGAGTTTTGGCATGATGAAGTAGACCACCTGCTGGACGCTGTTCTTCAAAATACCGCTTCGGTACGTTTGTTTTATGATCTACACTAATGAAGAAGTAAGCGTAACTGTAAAAGCGGAGTGTAATTTACAATGTTTTTTGGAATACAACAAATAATTTCATGGCTCCTGAAAAATCAGTTCCCGAAATTTGCACTTTAGACTATGTTCAGACTTTGCTATGCGCGTCGATGCGCTACCATTGCAATCGCCCTCTAAGTCGAGGCCTAGTCCCAAAAGGTATCGACCGGCGTCGGCAGCTAGTGTTTCGGTAGACTGTAGGAGAATAGGAGTGTGCAAGACGGTATGACTAGGCGTCGTAAAATTCACAAAATAGAAACGTCTGCAGTGCGGTCACGAGGCGGTAACGTCGCTTTTTTATAACGCCTAATTACATGGTCTGGTACCCCTTTATACTCTCCATAAACAACAGCTGCCGGCTATCCACGCCGGTCTATGGCTGCGCTCCGGTCTATAGTATTGGAGCGCGATTGCGACAGTTGCATGGTGATGGCCAACGCGAAGTCTGAACGCAGCCTTAGTTGCTTTAGTAATGCCATGATGAGAGATTCCCACTGTTGCCAAGTATATAAGAGAGTGAAGATTCAATACCGTTGAGCTTTTGTGGCTTTTCCGATTGAGATTCTGCCTTTAATTCAGCACTACTTTCCTCTCAATTTGGTTAAAAAGCTCCAATTGGAAGAGGAGAGAAAGTTCTGTGCAGTCGCTCTTTTCGGCAAAAGCGTGGTATTCAAGCGGCGATTTTGCTCCAGAAATGGCTCAAAGGTAGAAAAGGGGTCTCTCTATTGTCTAGCAAGTAGCTTCACTGAGTCGCTATTTTCATTTCATTTCGGGGGGGGGGAGGGTGGCCCAACCAGGGCACAGCATTCGATGGGGATTTTGGTCGAGCTTTTACGACCCCCCCCTTTTTCAGGGGCTGGTACGACCCCCCCCCCATGCTCCTACGATGGCTGACTGTGGTTGTGGTTTATACTCGGCGAAAAAGTTGTCGAGCGGGTGGAAGAGGGTGTCGAGCGGGGGAGGGTATGTAGTAGGCATGCGACGTACATCGTACGGGCGTACATAGTACCTATAACACAGAAAATTCATAAAACCCATGAAGTGAACCTCCTAGCCAGAAATACGACCCCCCTCCCAACAACGACCAAATACGACCCCCCCCCCCTCAAAACGTCCGCAAAGCGAGAAAAATCAACTATAAAAATAAATTTTTCCCAGCCCAAATACGACCCCCCTTTTGGCGGCCAAATACGACCCCCCCCCATAGGGAATCCCCAACCAATGCTGTGCCCTGGGCCCAACACATCCATATTGCGGCAAGGGAAGCATTGCGCACCGGGACCCACTTGATTCAGAGTGACAGTATAGTGCGTCGAATCAACTCGGAAATGCTCTGCAAATTCTTGCGCAACGCAGCGACGCGGATGTCCTGAGCCGTTTTGCAATTATTTTAGAGAATGGTTGTGCTACAAAAATTTGCGAATTTTTTTCTTCTTGGCAGTATTGATTTTAAGCCTGCTCGAAGTTCCGACGCCAAGCAGAAGAAGAAGAAAAAGAAGCGAAAATTGGATGTCGAAACGAATGGTAAGGAGGAAGATGTTATTGTACTGGATAACGATATGGATATCCTAGGAGTCACGGAATCATCTTCGTCCTCCAAAACTGGTATGGTAATTTTCCATTCTGTGCTCACTATAGTGTTCTGAAGAAAATAGCTGGTGAAGGCGGATTTCAGACTCTTCTTCGAGCGATGATAAAAAATTAATAGAAGCGCAACGCCAGGAAATCCAACGGTTGAAGAAAATCAATGCGGAACTCTACAACTTTATGGCATCAGAGTTGACAAAAAAGTAAAAATAACTGTACACGTGAAATTTTGTTGTTATTGTTGTTGTTAGACAGTTGAAGTTGTTGATGTTTATTTGTTGGAAGTTTGCAAGGTTTTGTACCGATGGTCATTTGCACATAAAATTCAGAATCTATGTTTGGTCTTTATGAGGGCGACAAAGTGGAGGAACAACAGAGTTTTCCCTGATGAGTAACCGGAACTGCCTGGTCAAGGGCACTCCGTATCTTGAAGATGTAGAGGGCGTGGCCGCATAGTTTACTGGGATAGATCTGCCGTCGTGCCCCTGAAGGGATACTTTCGTTTCGGGAAAATTATAAACATGTCTTTGCCCAGCACAGAATACGACTCAGATGAAAAAATCCTGGTGAATGCGTTATATGTCAGGTCCAAATGAAACATCTAGCCACGCCCTTCCCATCTTCGGGATATGGAGTATATGCTGTGTGCTGAGGCAATCATTACAAGTGACTGTGACCCTTGAAAAGATTCGGATGCGCAGGAATCCATCACGGAAGATCCAGTCGTTTTCGCGAGAAATGGTGCAGGTTTCTCCCACAACAGGAAAGTGAAGTCGCTGCTGAAACTGTGCCAGTAGAAGAAACCTTTCGTGATCATGAAGGGTTGCGAGTTGCAATCAGGTCAAACTACATATGAGCGGAGCTATCTTGAACTCTTGACCTTTCGAACGAAAGGTCAAGCGTAACCACTGAGCTAGCGAAATACCATCGTACAGATTCTGCATGTGAAATACACATAGCTTATTCAGAACGGGGCCATGAGAGGGGGGGGGGGGGAGTGGGGCCGCGCCTCCGGCTGCCTTTTCAACCAATTGTGATCAGTGAGTGATCGATTCGGAAAGAAGTAATTAATGATTTTCCGCCACGTGTCGACTCACTCCACTCGTCTGTGGAAAGGTTCAATTACGAAATTCCGCGACAGACGCCCTACAGGCAGATTGGCCAGTTAGTAGGGCATTCCATATAACTCTCAAATGACAATCAGCAAATGTGTTACCATACGAGATGATAGCAACTGTACATATAGTTGAACCTGGGTATGCGACAAGACAATTGTAAAATACCGCTCTGGTGGGCGTGGCGAGCGACTAACAGCGCCTGCTGGCTGGCTACTCTGCCTAGCCATTTGAACTTGAGTGTTAAAGAAACGGGAACACTCGATATCGCTCGTCATCGGCCGAGTATGTGACAAGACAATAGTAATTCACCGTGCAGGAAGACGGACAAGAGAATCGTTACTTGCCGCATAGTCGCGCGCGGCCCATCCTAGATTTGCAGTACCCGTTCGGTTGGAGCATCGGGTTTCATGTACATAGGGACATGGTAGACTCTTCTATTTTTGGTCACGTATTCTCTATTTTCGACCAACACCACCTCAATCGACGTCATCAGCGAGCGCGACGTCGCGCGCGGCTCCCCCATGCGCAGCGAGCTACGATTCTCTTGCCACATACCCCCGCGCCGGTGGGCGTCGCGCGTCAACTCGCAGAAGTTTCTAGATCGTAGATGATTAGCCGTAGGTGTCCACGATGTCGAAATCTATGTGAAAAGCGGTCATCTAAGCGACAGGTCAATGCAATTAGGAAAACGAGACATTCATCGCCACGCGCGGCAGAGCGGCAAATAAAGATTGTCTCGTCTATATGTTGTCTATGCAAACGTCCCCTCCCCCTTCGCCGAACTTAGGTGTTTCTTCAAGCAAAAACGCCGCAAACCATTATATTAAACATTTAATTTTAAAAAGAACGAGGAACACTACAATCCAGATAAAAGTATGCAGAAAAAATGTAAACAACAAATAATGTCTATGAAATATTTGTGAAAAGAACAATACGAATTTTGCAATTCATTTCTCAATACTTGACGCTTTAAAACGCCTTTTTGCAAAATAACATGTCAAAAATGGACTTTCAGCTTAGCAATTCCAACAACTTTTTTGAGTCAACAACTCTACTAAATAGCGACTCAGCTTGTTGGGCGCTACCTCTTATCCAGCATGCATCAGGCTATTCCGGATAGGATATGAAGCCTAAATAGAATATAACAGACTATGCTAGGCACATTTAAAAAATAATTGCAGCGTCCCAAATAAAATATATTAGCGCTAGAACAAATCATATTAAAAATAACACTCAATAAACAAAGTTAGGAAAGTACCATGAAGAACATCACTACAGCCTTGATAGCTGCGAATGATAGGGCGTGCCAGGGGAGGTGGGTTTAGCGCAGCGCCAGCCCGTTCTTTTTTTTCAGCAAGCCACAAATTGTATCGTATCATTCGTAGCAGTCATTTTCCACCAATTATTATCGCTTATCCGCTTCAACAACTGGTTCAGAACGGGCTGGCGGCGCGTCAATAGCCCCACTGACACGCCCCATCATACGCAGCGATTAAAACTGTACAACTAAACAATTTCACTACAACAACATGAACCTTTTCTAAAACCGGTCATTCTGACAGCTTTTATAGAAAGAATAGCTTATCGCGAAGCTCCTGATTCACTTCTTTATTATGAATTGACTGCGCTACCATGAACGCCAACTTATGGGCGTACTGACATGGAGCCGGTACATCGTATGTCCCTTGCCAGTGTGTGGAGTTACAAGTGGCATAATTGAATGCAGCTGAAAAAACAAAGGGCGATTGAAAATGCCGTGGAAAATACGAAGACGTGGGCGCGATCGGGCGACGAGGGGGGGGGCTTTTGCCTTTTGTTGCTTCCCTAGTTCCGGTTTACAAGTCTCACTCTGGCGAGATCTGTGAACTTTTGTAAAGCTAGAGCAAACTCCTCGAGTCACCATGGTGAACCTGTCAACTCTTGTCAGCTCATGGAAAGATTTTCATTAGGAATCTACAAAAAATGACAGGTAGCCTTCATAGCCTTCACAAAGCTGGCTGGTATCAGTCGTGGCTTCAACAAGAATTTCACAGGTCTCCCTCAACTTGATGGCTCGACGGGTCGATGGGAAGTAGCAAGAATGCAAAATGCTCTTTCCCCCTCCCCCCCCTCCTCCGTTGCCGAACTGCCCCAAATTGAGCAAAACTTGCCTTTTGATGACGATCCGGCGACAGACCTGTATTGTCAAAAATGACATTGTAACAGACCGGTGTGACAGTCCCTTGATTCACAAATTGTGGAACCAGA